TGTCCGAACCGTGACCCAGAAAAAAAAAAAGAAAAAAAAAAAGAGTGCGGTCAGCTAAGTTTTAACGGCCAACTTACCAGCTCTCTTCCTCCACTTCCCGCGGCGGCTCCTCCTGCTGTCGCTGCACAAACTTTAGCTTAAAGTCATGGAAACAGAGCGGAAATACACGTTTACTTTAACTTTCGAGGAGACGACTCCAAAAGTTATTCTGTTTAAAAAGAGTAAGCTTCTTCCTCTCTCCCCTTCTTTCCTTTCTCCTCCCCCCTCCGCACTTCTCCCCCCCCCATTCACGATCACGACAGAAGCCACTTCCGCGAACAAATGGTGACGTCATCGGGCCCTGGTTCCAGTGTGTGTGTGCGCGCGTGGCCGCCGCGTTGCACCTGGACCGGTCTGAGGATTGCGTAAAAAATAGAAATGCCTGACTGCAAGCCAGAAGTTTTTTGTTTCACTTAGAATTAAAGATAGATACAGACAGCCGCCTTACGAAAACAAGTTATATGTTTAATCATTCATTAATATTGAGGAAGCACTTCACAGTTCCTGACAGTTTATTATAGTAGAGGCGGAACAAGCAGAAATGCTGCCCTGGGCCCCCGCCCCCCTTGGTTTAACAGTAAAGTTCAGATTCCCTGTCATTTCTGTTTTCATGATAACCTTTCCTACTGTTCCAAACCCACATGCTTCGCACAGAGCCATAGAGATAAGAGAGTTCTGACATAGGGCAACGATTCAACGAGTGTTGGTGATGCTCGGAACTTTAATATTTTAAGGGAAATTAGTAAACAAAGCTGTTTCCTGTTGCTACAGGAAAATAGACAACAGTATTTATATTGTTAGACACTTTATAGTATTCTATATCGTTTTTCTTCACTAGTGATGTTATAAGATGAAACGAAGCATGTGTCGAATACTGAAGGGGGCGTTACCGTGAGGCTGACAAAAGATGTGGGACTTTGCAGGAGAGTTGGATAGAGTATGGATATATTCTACAAATAGATTGGTTGGGAAAAACAACCAATCTAGTTGGTTAAAAATAGTTTGGTTAAAAAATAACGCTACTTTAGGCATTTACTTAATCATATTTAGTTACTTTAACACACTTGTGTCATGTTGGCAGGGTAGGACATAAAACAACAGTCTTAAAGTAACTAAATATGGTTAAATAAATGCAAAAGCAGTTGTAGTATTTTTTCCATTGTAGATTAAATAATGATTAAAATCTGAGCCAACAATGATTACATATGTAATGGGTTTTAAGATGCATTGCTTTCTCAATAACTGCTACCTTGTAAGTGCCATCAGCTGTAAGAGATAGGCATCCACTTTTGAGGTTGATGGTTAAAGACCCACCTTAAATGTTTGAAAATTGCAATAAACAACAAGAAATATTTTGGCTAATGTGACTAATTTGTATTGGTTTGCCCTAATACAAATATAGATTGGGTAAAAACACTACCAAATTAGATTGGTTAGTTTAACTGTGGAAAAACTATTATGTTTGAATGCAATGACTAACATCTTTCATTTTGCTCACCATTGCCCAATTTGCACAAGCACTTTCACTGTCTCCTTGAGCTTATTTCACTAAAATGGCAGAAAAACTGTATTTTAAATGATTTTTCTCTTCTAAGCACACACACACAAAAAAAAAATTAAAAAGATTTTATTATACAGACCAATCATTGACAATTTCAAAGGAACCGAAATGGGAAAAAAGCAAATTGAGAAAAACAATTGAAAAACAAATCACCAATTTTATTACTAACTGTAGTTCTGCATGCCACCAGTGGGTGCTGATATGGTAAAATTAAGCTTCATGAACTGTGGGAATCGAAGCAATTTAGCCAAACGGTTCAAATGCTTCATGAGGCTTTACATCACCCTCACTACTCTTCACTATTATGTTTTTTTTTTGTACACTGTTCTGAGGCCCACATTTGTGTGATAATTTTTTATATTATTTTTTTTTTTGCTGCTGTAACACCAGAATTTCCCCATTGTAGGACAATAAAGGGAATTTCTATGCTATTTTATTCTAACATATCTTAATATCATATGCTCTCTGATTCTACCTAGTGTAAAGTGAGAATAGATAGATAAATTAGATAGATAAAAGAGACAGTTTAATTGTTACATGCACAGTTATACACAGTCCAATACACATATACTTAAAGGTATAGTGGAGGAATTTCGTTAATTTTTTAAAAGACCCGCCGTCTCCATGAAAAAAACAATGCACATGCACAACCCTGTACCCTCCCCCGAGAGGGAACACCTATTAAACATGTGGAAGACCATGCACAAGCCTATTTCTCCTTGTGCACAATTTGTTTAAAAGTTCCTGTTTGGGTCACTCATACAAGTTTATTTTCCACAAGAAGATTTGCAGTTTTTTTACTGTGTCAGACACATCATCGGTAAATGAAGATGAGGTCGAGCACGTAGGACGACCTTACTTAAATATATCACTAGAATGATTGACAATTAGGAGGACCACTTATTTTGATGATCCACCCAAAAAAAGAACATCCTCCACTATACCTTTAACATCTATCATGTTATTAGAACATTATATTTAGGTTGCTCTACTCATCTTTGATCATGTAAACAAAACATTAACATCTATAAATGTTAGATATGAATTAACTGAATATGCCTGAAACAGGCTCTAGATAAAATAAATATGTGTTTTTAAAAATCCCATGGCTAACATCAGAAATATAATATGGAGTACAACCTCTCAATCAGTTAGCTTTATGCTAATGGTTGTTTTTTGTGTGAAATAATTACCAAAGGTATTGGGTCTTTTGCAGATCTGCCTGCATTTTTGATGTGCCGCCAAGTACTTCCACCGAACTACTGGGCACCCTATAGCACACTGACTTTATAGGTCTTCCAGTGACAGAACTCCCCATTTCTTTACGGCTCTGACTTCACAGTCAGCTGACCAGATGCTTCTTGCTGTTTCATCATGTGGCTAAAGTTTGAGGCTATCAGGCTTTTCTTTCCTTTAAATATTTATTAAGACCAAGCAACACAGCATGATTTGTTTGTTCTTTTGTGATTTTTCTTTTTTGTGTGCCTAGGAGTGCTTTATACCTACTTTAATTTTAATATTTCCATTTATTCACTTAATAAAAATCATTTTCATTCCACCATTTATTGTTTTCAAATGTGCTGTAAATACATAGGATCATATAACTATTATTAATGAGCCTGCTTGAAAAATAATCTGTTGTTATTACCTTTAAGCTTCACAGATACTGAAATGACGCAAAACTTCTAGATTAGATCTGTTTCATTTTAAAATCCTTCTAAAGAAGGAATGAGCTGTATTTTTGTAATCCAGTTTCCTCCCACACTTTAACACCTGCTCGAATATGAATATTCAATCAGTAAGTGAAAAGTCAAATAATGATGGGTCAAATGTTAATATTGAAATGTGTTGAAATTTTACCCATTCATTGTCCCTTTAGTAGTTTTTCAAGCCATAATCATAGCTATCAAATCACATCTGTATTCAATAATTCAATATATCTTTTTTGAATGGAATTACTCAAAAACATTCCTTTTGATGGGATTCTGATCTATGAGATCCACCGCTATGTGTGAACTAATCTGATACATTAAAGGTGATAAAAGGTAATTCTAAACATGTAAAGAATATTCTTGGTGTTTATTTTATCCACTGTAAACTGAGGAGTTTTATGTGAAGAAAACATAAAGAAAACCGATTGTATTAAAATAATTTAAATCCCAAAAATATCAGGTTTTGCTGATTTTTTTTTTTTTTTTTTGTATTCAGCATACATTTTAATAAAGCTTTAAGAGGATAAAAGTATATCTTGTATAACGGGCTGTTTATTGTAGTTGTTTCAGTCGGTGCATAATCTGTTTCTAATATTAACATATGTATTTTAAAATGTCTCGTTTGACTCTTTTTGATCTTTTTTATATTATTATTCGTGACCCCAAAATCCAATTACCTCATAAATATATATCTCTCAGGATGATTACTCATCTATATTGTATTCAAAATGTTTTTATGTGTTTAAATAATTTTTTACTCTGTCTTGTCGTTTGCCATATGGTGGATTTACAAGAGTTGTTCCTTTTTAAAGCCAAAATGTTTTAAGTACATTAAATATAAACATTTGCAAAAACACAGCCTGCAATTGAAAACTGTCCGGCTAATAACCTAAGCAGTCTTCACTTGGAAAAAATGTCATTATAGTTCACATAATTCTTGTGAATGTGTGTGAAACTGTTTTATGTTTTAATAATACTCCAAAGTTTTTAATTTCCTAACTTTATCTTCTCTACTTTCTTGTTCTAGATTATGCATTTGGTTTGAAACAGTTCCTGAATTTATTTTCATCAAAAAATTGAAGGAAAACATTTAAAGTCGATTTTTAATATGTTTAATGATTTGCTAAACATTTTTATTAATTAAGTTATAAAATTTGAGTTTTGATTAAATTATCATACCGCATATTTACATAAATGCAAAACTTGAAAAAAAATAATACTATACAGTATAAAGAATACAGTCGTTTCCCTAAATGTTCTGATGTGAATGATTGCACTAAATCCACGTGTTAGAGGAAAGTAGTGAAAAGGTGGAGGAAGTTAAAAAATGAAAATATCTAGGGTTTTTTTTTCATCAGAAAAACAAAACAAAACAAAAAAAAATCGAAATACTTGGAGTGTTTCTGCATTTTACTCGGCTTCTTTCTTTTATAAAACGGAATCTTAAATGAACTGCTCCCTTTTAAAGTATACATAATTAATTCGAAAGTTTGAAATATTCTCTCTTGACTTCAAGATGAGAAAAATTGCACGACGAATTTGAGAGCAGTAGGATGAAATAGTCTATAGAATGGGACTTTTGATGAAATTAAATAGTGAGGACGCCTCGCCACTAGGGGCGTACACCGTAAAGAGGTTAGCTATACAGCGTAAGAAGAAGAAAAGGGTACCTAGCATGTATGCCTAGCATCTCTTCTAGCAACTCCAACAATTTATAGCATCCCCTCACCTGCATCATTCGAGGCTAAATGCACACTCAATGAGCTATAATATCCACATTTTCACTGTTTTCCTTCCAACAATATGTATTTAGAATACTAACGCTGTAATAGTTATTACAAAGCAACAGTTTCCGTGTACATGCAAATGCTAACAGCAAACACCGAGCACCATAAACATGATAGGTTGTTAAGTGACGCTTCCTTCGTCCTGATTGGTCGCTTTTTTAACGCTCTGCCGTCACAACTGTAGAGATACGTAAGGAGGACATATGAGAAGTAAGTTCCTTTGGTTTTCTGTGTTAATTAAGTAGTTTAGTTATTAAATCATAGCTATATTGGAATGAGCTCTCCACTAGAATGAACTATACGATGTAAAGGGACGTTAAACGAAAGGTATTTGATCTGTTTTTAATCAGCATGTTAGCGTACTTACAGATTAATGTGGGCGCTGCTCACAGATGAAGTATTCATTTAACAGCTTGTGTAAGATAGCCACGATTTGTTGTTAAAATATGACCTGCTTGATATGGACTATCTGGTAGTTTGTGGTTTAACAGAGTGTTTAAGCACAGTTATATGATAGCATTCTGTAATACAGCAAATACACACGTTCTTCGAACGTGGTTTCACATTATAAAGGCTGGTTTAAGTTATTGCAACATAACTTCATTATTTAGGATAAAGGTCTTACATCTTATCATTTAGCTCAGCAGGCTAACATCCCGGGATTCCTGCAATACCCTCAAGTAGCTTGTATTCACCATTCTGTATGGTAGCTTTTAAGTACAAATTATGAATATGATAAAATAGGTCAGCGCTTTCTGAAAGAAAAATCATTCTCAGACAGCATATTTTTGTTTATAAAGTTCCTAATAAATATATATATATATATATATATATTTTTTTTTACTTAAGGGTTATTCATATCTTACTCATATCTTTACTCACAGTATTTTTTTGTTGTATTAATTATTTTATATCAGGTTGTGTTTTTTTCCTTTCCCAGTAACTAAACAGAATTTCTGTTTTTTCAGTGTTATTTTAGCAGAACAAATAAAAATTTGTCATGAAAGGGCATAATATGCAGCTATTAATATATAAAACTACTTTAACTCTCAGCCAGTCCAATAATCATGGTCAATAAGACTAAATTAACTGTAAATATACAGTCATATGTTTATATTACTATTTTTTTTATGTATTTATTACTGTTTTCAAGGCTGCATTTAAAAAAAAGTCTAATCTTTAAAACGTTTAATTCAGAATGGGTCAAGATCTGACATGTTGCAGTATTGTTTTCTAAAATGCTAAACCGTTATCTTATTAAAACTATATTGATAAGTAGAGTCATAGCCGCATACACAATGTAATGAAAAGTTTTATTTGTTAGGCACTTTTCACATATACATGATCAAACTAAATGGGAAACATAAAAACATATTTTCACGTGACTCAAAAATGGAAAAACCAAATATAAAACAGCAGATTTCCGTTTCACATTTTTTCTTAACTGAAAGTAGAAAGTTTTAAGAGATTAGAAGTGTCTACATTGAAATTGAAAATCTCTGCTAAGTACTGACGAAGGCAACTGCTCGGTGGTTGTCTTTAGGGATATTAGGAGTGACTATATTCCCCCCCCCTGTTTTGTAGGAGTTTTTTTAGTTTTTAAGTCAAGCGGTTGATCTATTTAGATCATTATTGAACTCATGAGAAATTTCTCAAAAAAGTGAATAATATCTACATTAGAAAATACTGAATAAAACAAATTAAAACAATTTGAATAGAGTAGAAAAAATATTTTAGTGGAATACCTGTAACTGTAACATCACTCTGACATCCTTAGTTGCATTACCTAAAGATTATCTTTGTTCAGGGCCTTCTGCTACAAACCTTACGAATTTTGTAACATTGTTTTGCAGTCAATTCCAAACCAATGTCTTTATTTTTTTGTTTACTGTCAAATTCTGTGTAGGTTTTCAAGTAAAAATATGATAGGACTTGACAGAAATATCTTTATACATCAAGTAATCTTGTATGTAAAATGTAAAATCCCAACTCCAAATAAACATTTTCTTGTTTTTCTCTCAAATTTTATAGTAAAATGACATATATTGCCTATAAAAACTAGCTTTGATTTTAGTCAACCCCTCTGGGAATTTACCTTAACATAAACAGCCAGGAATAATCATGTTTCATAAGAAAATAACATAACACCCTAAATGTTTGCAACTCTTGCCAAGAAATAGTGAATCAGTTATGAACTTACATCTATGAACAAAAAGTGATAACTGATGTCACTCTGAGCTACGGAAGCCCAAGGAGTGGATTGTTGGGGAAAAAATGCAGCTTTTCTTAAAATATTAAATCTTCATAAACAAAACAAAATGTAATTAATCTCTTTTTTTTTAACTGATTAATTGTCCATCCCTTATAATAACCAATGAGTAACAGATTAAAAGCTAGACTCCAACTCAGTACCCTTTTATGTAAACAACTGCCTGTAAACAACTAAAAATTACAACAGAGTAATACATTTTGGTATACTAATGTAATAAAACAAAATAGCCTCATAAAACTATATAATTATTCATTAGATTAAAAACTTTATTTAGATATGTCCTTTCTCATTCATTTAACCACTTCAAGTAGTTCTTCTTTGAGAGACTACTTTTTGATTATCCAAGTGATCTCCAAGCTCTGATTGAGCTATCTAGCATTTACACTGTGTGGCTCATATGCCTCCTTTAACCATGATATTCTTACTCTTTTCTCTCTCCTCTCCTTTCAGTTGTCTTTGGTTCAAGATACTCTGTGGTAGGTGACCAATTATGAAGAACAAGGGGGCCTAAGCTTCATTGGAATAAATTCAGATGCTCCATGTGGATCCATGTTAATGTAAGCATCATTTTCTGTCCACATGGGGTCATCTTGTGATCATGGAAAAGATTGTTGATTATAATGGAAGAGCAGTAAAACCCAGTGCTACACAAAAGTATGCGTACCACCTTAAACCTCTTTAAATTTGATCTCCCTTCATCTTCCAATCGGGTACTTGCTATTTGCCCATAAAGAGCAGGTTTGTGGAGCCTCATAGCTGCGGAGTGGACAGATTCTCCTGTCTGAGCTGTATATCTTAGCAACTTTGCAACTGACCTGGCTGTTTGTTGTCTTTATGGTGTTTGTTCTGCAAACACCATGAAGCTCACCTGTTTCCTAATGGGAGAGCTGGATTAATGCTAAAATTAAATTACACAAAGGTTAACACTGTTTATCAGCATGTGACTTCTAAAAGCAAATAGTTTTCTTTTATTGGACGTTATTGAGGCCTATCAACGTAAAGGGCACTGTATTATGTTGCTTATCTTATTTTTCTGATACTTTAATTGTTAAAGAAGCAAAATTCACAATTTAAAGCTTGTGGTTATAAAGCAATCAATAGGTAAAAGACCTTTGGATGGAACTGTTCACTGTGTTTTGTTTTCTAATATTCTTATTTGATCTGACCAGATTTTGAGTTCATTTAATGCTGATATTCTAAAACGATGCACTGAGTTCTGTCCTGTTGTTCTTAGCTTTTCACTACCCGGTCTGAGCAGAGCAGCGGTGCGTGTAAGGAGACTGGCAGCACAGCTCAGTAAAGCAACCATGTCTACTAACAATCAGGGCTCCAGTCCGTCCTCGGCCGTCAGTGGCGACACTCCCACCGCCGCCATTCTCATCATAGGAGACGAAATACTCAAGGTAATTCCTTGTCAGATCTACATGACTGACACTGACACTCTTTGGATGTTTTCTCTGCACAAATCTATAGGCTTTGATGTAGTCAGTATTCTAAACATATACACAGTCAGCTTCTGCTCCGTTGGAGTGGCTTGTCATAACTTGAAGAAAAACCTTGTGAAACTTGTTTGATGAGCGAGTGATGCTTCATCTTAGGATGACATGCCCACCAAGACTTAGTGACTTGGAACAGTCATGATTTAAACATGAGGACTTTGATTTAGTCAATGTCAGGGTTGACTCTCCAGTCTAGACCTATTTGGTCCTTGGATTTCATCAGACAGGACTTTTTTTGTTTTTCTTTGTAGAAGAAGAAGATGATGTCCTTGAATTTGTTGTCTTAGTTGTATTGTAGACTGAGTTTTGCATCTGTTTCAGGGTCACACTGTGGACACCAACAGCACCTTCCTAACACGAGCTCTCAGAAGGCTCGGAGTGTCTGTGCAGCGTATAACGGTTATACCAGATGTACACGAGGTCATAGCCAAGGAGGTGGTCGTCCTCTCCTCCCAGTATACCCACCTGATAACGTCAGGTGGCGTGGGCCCCACTCATGACGATATAACCCTGGAGAGCATTGCTGCGGCGTTTCAAGAGGAGGTTTATCCCCATCCTGAGCTGGCCAAGCTGGTTGAAGAATTCTTCGGGGTGACGGACAAAGACAGCCCAGCCATGAAATTAGCCATGGTGCCTCGTTCAGCCAAACTTAACTACGGGACTGATCCTCAGACTGGTAAACGGCAGCGCTATCCAGTGGTGAGTGAACTCAGGATTAAGAAGAATAATACTGTGAAAATGAAATCAAGAGAAAAGACCTTTAAACGATTAAAACTGCCTCCTCCATCATCACCCCAGTAGATGACCACTTAGCCGTTTGTAATAATAATAATAGAACACAAATGGAGAATACAGAAGAAGGGATCCTTGATCTCCCCTCTTTGCAGTGTCTATAGATCTTTTAGTCCCAGTTCCTTTCTCATACTCTCCTTTACCCCATACATTGCCCTGTTTTTGATCACTATCCTGGTGTAAGACCCAATCATTATTCCACCTGATTTGGAGGCAATGCTTCCCAGTGCCATGCCTGCTAACCTGTTCCTAAGTTCTTAGAAAAGCCAAGAACCAAGCCCACAGCATGACACCTTCTCCACCAAACATTGCAATGTCTAATAAGTGCATTTTACTACACACTCACCCTCTGTTTTACACCAAATGTACAGAGTAGGTTTGTGGCTGTTATTATACATTTATATACAATTTTACAGACATGCCAACTTATTATAATTATAACGGATCATATATTTGGTTTAACTTGCCCATGTTGACTCACGTCTTAGCCATTGTTTCTCGTATCATCACTTACATCTTGGCCACCTTTTTACAGGTCAGCGTCCATAATGTGTATGTGTTTCCTGGGACCCCGTCGTTCATGGAAATGGCCTTCACTGGGCTGGAGCACGTCTTTGCTAGTTCAGGAACCACATTTCATTCTCGTGAGGTAACATTGCCCCATGGCTGTTGTTGACCCCCCCCCCCCCCCCTTGTTTTAACTGCGGCTTTACTGAATCGATATGTTTCTTCCAGGTGTTTGTAGATGCAGAGGAAACAGAGATTGCGCCTGTGCTCACCAAACTGCAGGCCAGTTGGGGCCGAAGGGTGGCTCTTGGTTCTTACCCCGACTGGTTGAGCAATTACAGCAAAGTCAGACTGGTGCTGGACTCCAGCAGCCAGGAGGAGGTGGACAAAGCCCGGGATCAGCTGGTGGATCAGCTGCCCAAAGGAAGTGTGGTTTCCTTAGTCAAAGACCCAGTGTCTGTTGCCCCTGCAGAGGTGTACAAACTGGCTAACAGCGGTGAGGCCTGCAGAAGTACATTTGTAAAAAAAAAAAATCAGCTTCAAAACTATAAACATGTTTAACACATTTGTATTTTGACATAATTTAATTTACTCTTATGTTCAAAATCAGCTTTTAATGTTGTAATTATTTTACATTTTTCTTTCTAAAGAACCTACATTTGAGGACTGCTATAGATGTGAATGCATTATTAGTATTCTAGGCACGCTTGATTTAAAAAAAAAAAAAGTAAAAAAACCTCCAGTCAAAAACATGGGAAACATTTTTTAATAAATAACTTCTGGCAGAGTGGGGAATAACTGGTATACCCTAGATAAAAAAACAAACAAAAACATGATGAGTGAAAATGTTGAAATAAGGCATGCAGGTGGCACAGTGGTTAGTGCGCACGACCCATATATGGAGGCCTTAGTCCTTGACACGGGCGACCAGTTTTCCAATCCGGCCTGTGGTCCTTTCCTGCATGTCTCCCCCTCTCCTCTCATACCCCCTTTCCTGTCAGCCTGCTGTTGAAAAAACGAGCCAATAGTGCCATTAAAAAATAATAATAAATGTTGAAATAACTTGGGATTACAACAAAAGTATGAGACCAAACGGTAACATAGATTAAGCCTCCATCAGTTAATGTTGAAACAGAAACGAAGGATGACTTAAACTTTGCCAGTCTACTTTAAATTTCAGTTATCATGAAGCAGTAGCTCACTGTGGAGTTTTTTTCTCACAGGCACAGCTTTGGGTGAGAAAGTGAAATTTGCACTGAAAACAATAGAGGCGGCGCTGGATCAGTATTCAACTGAGCAAGTATGCGTTGGCTTCAATGGAGGCAAAGACTGCACAGCTCTGCTCCATCTGTACTACTCGACCCTGAAACGGTAACTGGAAAGGATGGGAGGAGGGACAGATTGAAAGATACATAACCTACAGGAGGGGCAATAAAAATCAGCAAAGAAATCATACCACAGGGGGGTTAAACATTTCTCACCCAGATTTAAAGGAGGAATTAAATGGACTTAGATTAGCTTCGAGGTGGAAAATCTGTTGACTGAGTATCTTTTTTTATTGTAGGCATTCTTCACAGATTGTCTCATCTAATCTTCTGCTGTCTTCCTGATGTTGATCTTTGATGTCCGATTTCTCTCTTCCCTCCACTATCAGGCGGTGTCCAGATGGGAAAGGCAAGGTTAAAGCTCTTTATATCCGTAACGTCTCACCATTCCCAGAAATGGAGAGATTCCTACAAGACACAATAAAAAAGTGAGTCATCAGTTTAGTCTTTTCTCTCTGGGGTTATTTTCCGTTTGTACCATTTTGGAGATTTACAGAAGAACTCATATCCACTGGGTTTTTACATATTTTGTGACGTTACAATAACAAACTTCAGTTTTCTTTGTCTCAGTTTAATGTAAACTGAGATAAATCTGTGATATACAGCCGCTGGGTGAAATAGTATTTCACACATAGCAACCAGTGACGCATTGGGAAGCTGGGCTACCATGGGCGCCTAAGCTACAGTTGGACAGTCATATCTAGTCGGTAATTTGTGGATGTGTGGGATGTTTTTTTGCATGTGATATGATCAGTAACAGACGCACCTCACTGAATCGGATTTTAAATGTCTTCACTCAGATATAACACTACAGGACGGCTGTGATGTATCTGATAAATCAGCGTCCAGTTAGCAACTGATATCATTTTTTATTTGTGGTTTCATTGCTGTATTTTTTTTAAAGTTTTTTACACAAAATGAATGTCATTCGGCTGTAAGGATCAAGAAGAAGAGAAGAAAACATCAGGACAGAGAGTAAGGCAACTGGTTGGTCTAATATTAGGTGGAAGTGTAGGAGCAGCTACTGAATACCAAGTAATTCATTTTTAAATATTATTTTTATTGAATAAGTGCATTAGAAAAATGTGTAATGTATTCATTACTATTAAATGTTGCTTTGAATGAGGATTGGTGATGACATTTGCTATAGAGGAGACCAGTGATGGCATTAGGTAGAAATAAACAACTAGTGAGGTCATAACAACCTGCTGATCACCTATTTGCTGTTTCCTAGACAATCAGCTGAGAGGAGAATGTGGAACAGAGAGGTTGTGTATAGAAACTGTAATAAAAATCCCTACATGAATGAATAAGATTAATAGATGTAAACATGAAAAAAGGGGTTGGGGTGATTGTTATATGACTGCATACTCCTTAGAAAGTTGGAAGTTGTGCCCCTGAGAGCCCCTTTCAGGTCATCATCTGACAATAAAGACTTGGACAACTCCTTAAAATGACCAATGGAGCCAGGACAGCATCACTTTACATGATTTTCTCAGAGGTAAAAGCATTTAGCCTCATTGAGAGTGAACAGGGATGAACACACCAGACCAGGTTTTCTTCAAGAGGTCTTCTATAGCTCCAACCCAGATAGACCACAGAATTGTTTCAGTCTGGCTACGCAGCGATTCAGCGGCAATTTCATGGGTCTGACTGGAAGAGAGAGGTGGTTACAAAGTACAACACGTCTGTTTTGGGAGAAATGCATTCATTTTCCGCCACGCTTATTCCTGCTGGGGTCGCGAGGGGTGCTGATGCCCATCTCCAGTTGTCAATGAGCGAGAGGCGTGGTACACCCTGAACAGGTCGCCAGTCTATCACAGGGCGAGACGGAGAGAAACCATTCACACACACACACTCACACCAAAGGAGAATTTAGAGAAGCCATTTTGCCTAACAGTCATGTTGTTGGACTGTGAGAGGAAGCCAGACTACTCAGAGAGAACCCATGCATGCATAGGGAGAACATGCAAACTCCATGCAGAAACCCGGAACCTTCTTGCTGCAAGGCAGCAGTTCTACCCACTGGTGCACTGAGCAGCCATCTTTGGGAGAAATGCAAAATGAAATCTCAACAGTCAGGTTTGGAGTCTCACAACGTGTCTATAAACAGGTGGGGCAGACGGAGGCAAAAACAATAAATCATTTTAGCATACAGAATACTTGACCTATGAGAGGTGTTCAGGAGGACATGTAATGGACGAAGCAAACTAGTGATCCTCTTTTAGCCTCACAAAAACAACTTCAAAATTTCGGGAATATGCTTGACTTTCTGTTTGTTCATCACATAAAAAGCTAATAAAATGCATTAAAGTTTGTGGTTGAAATATGACACAGAATTAATAATCTGTAGCCTTTTGTAAAGTACTGTGTAGTTCACCCCATTGGTGCTTTTAGTCCATTTATTCATTTCAGTCTCTTCCAGATATGACTTGGAGTTAATCTCTGTGGAGGGAAGCATTCGACAGGCTCTTTACGAGCTGCACGACAAGGAGCCCGGGCTGAAAGCCGTCCTGATGGGAACCAGGAGAACTGACCCCTATTCCCACACCCTGACACCTATGTGCCCCACAGATCCTGGCTGGCCGGAATACATGAGAGTCAATCCATTGCTGGTATGACATGTTCATGTCATGTTGTTTGGAGTTTTAAATGTTTGTTTTCTACTCACTAGAGGTCTGTCTTTTTGTGTGCAGGTACATAAAAAATAACACAAATACAGTAAATGAGTTGAAAATGAAATAATTAGGTTATATCAGTTCATTCCATCTAGATAAAAAATACTTTAAAAATGTGTTTCTTATAGTTTTGATGATTATGGCTTTTAGGCTATGAAAACCTAAAATTTGTCTTAGAAAATTGGAATGTTGTATAGATGTTAAATATTTGCAACTCATGGTGTGACACTCTAATCAGCTAATTAACTAAAAAAACACCTGCAAAGGCTTCCCAATTGTCCAGTCTATAAGGTTTCTCAGTCTGGGTAAGAAGGCATAACATTCATAGGGAAGACAGCTGAATATAGATGGACAGCAATTCTGTTCAGTTTATTTATACAGCACCAATTCACAGCATATGTCATCTCAAGGCACTTTACAGTTCACTAGATCATACAGTCAAATTGATTCTAGGTTTTCCATCTAAGGAAAACCAGTTGATTGCATCGACTCATTGACTCAAAAACAATCCCTCACACTAAGCATGCTTGTAGCAACAGTAGAGAGGAAAAACTCCCTTTTAACAGGAAGAAACCTCCAACAGAACCAGGCTCAGTGCGAGCGGCCATCTGCTGAGACCAACTGGGGTTCAAGGAGAGAGAAGCAAAAATACAAAAAGCAGCTGTTAAAGGCAGCTCTGTCCAGGAAACACAGCCAGGCAGACGAACCCTGAGCCAACTTCCATGTCAGAGGATGGAGAGAGCACATCCAGCCAGTCACAGTCAGACAAACAGGACTACACTGAAAAAACGGGCTGATCTCCAACATCTATAAACAAAGGTGTTGATGGCAGCAGCACAGCTGATATTTCTCTCCAGGATGGTGTCACAGCCAAACAGGAACAGACGAGGCAAAGCTACTATGAGAAAAAGCAGAGAGAGCATAACATTAGAGACTGAACTAACAGATTGTGCAGAGTGGGAGAATAGAGATAGAATGAAGCAGAATGATGAAATAGGGGTCCCTATGTCCTCCAGAAGTCTAAGCCTATAGCATCATAACTATAGAGATAGCTCAGGATAACCTGAGCCACTCTAACTATGAACTTTATAAAAAAGGAAAGTTTTAAGCCTAGCCTTAAAAGTAGACAGGGTGTCTGCCTCATGGACTAAAACTGGTAGTTGGTTCCACAGGAGAGGAGCCTTATAACTAAAAGATCTGCCTCCCATTCTACTTTTAGAAATTCTAGGAAGCACTAAGCACAAAGTAAACCTGTAGACTGAGAACGAATTGCTCTGTTAGGGACATAAGGAACAATCAGATCTCTGATATAAGACGGAGTTTGGCCATCTAAGGCTCTATATGTGACAGCGGACAGTCACTGACACCTTCTAAAGGGGGATAGACACAGTTATTTGTAAAGAAGCTGGGTGCTCACAGTGCTGTATCTATGTATTTTCATGTGGTGAAATGAGTAGAAGGAAAATGTTTAGTAGAATAAAAAGGTGAAGCAGTGAGAGGAATAACTGCAGTCTTGGCAAACAAAATCTACTCAATAATTTGGGGGAGTTCCACATGAAGTGGACTAAAGATTATTGTCAAGAGGAAGATGAGGGTCAATGCAGACAACCTGAAGGCTGCCATCAAAGCTTAAGCAGAACCACAGGCTGATCGCCGAATTCATGACCGAGTATGGAGTACAAAGAATTCAGCATACTTTCTAAGAAGTGTGTCATTATCTTGTTTTTCTTTTTAGAAATCTGATCTGACAATCTATAAGCCATAACCATCAAACACACACATATATATATATATATATATATATATATATATATATATATATATATATATATATATATATATATATATATATATATAAGCCATAAATAGACAAACCCATGCAAATCTTTCTGACATGACATCCTGTAACAACAATATGACCATGTTTTTAAAAGACCATGTTTTCCAGCAGTGAAAGAAGGAGCTCTCTTCCCTCATTAAGTTAATTTTAATGCTTTAGTCATTAAAGTGGCTCTCTGGGTGAATAATTATTGAGCATCCAATTAGGTGCTTCTGGAAATTACCACTTTTTTCATGCAAAATTCTTTGAACTTTTCTTTTTCTGTGTTGTCAAAAATAACCTAAAAATTTCGTGGAGAACAAATTTGGGTGTTCACTGATGCAGGAGCTTAAGCTGAGGAGACCTTCAGATGTTGCTACGGAGTTGATGGATGCAAGTGTATCTATCCCTGTTAACGCTGATACTAGTGATGGCAATGCTGTTAATCTCCACTGTCTAAGTGCAACATAAATTGACTGAAATAAAGAGAGCAGTGGGGTTGATTGTGTTAGAGCTACTAGCAGAGTAATGCCTTTAATTTGCATCCATTTAAACGAAAAGGTTTATTCATTTAATTGAGCTATTTCTTACCTTGAGGCATTTTTCCTGTTTGCTTTTGGTTGGAACGGGGATTTACTTTATCATTATTAAATGATTTTTGGTCTCTTGTATGGGCAGATAAGGTATATTACTGACAGAAATCTTTAAACAAATTCATTCATAATTGAACTATAGAAAAGGGGAAGCTTCTCCGCTGGCATCTCAAGCCTCTTATGACAAGAGTTTAAAATGACCCTGTGCTTCTTCAACTGGATGTTGTTTAGGTGTGAAATTAAATATTAAGTACTCCTTTAACTTTAACAAACAACATAATAAAACCACAGATCACAAACTGCTTTAAAGAATCTTCATTTCCTGTTGGATAAACTAGTTTTAATGACCAGTAGATGTTATAGATGTCAAAAATAAATCTGACCCAAGATGATCTGGATGCCTTAAAAAAACTCTTCTCCATACTTCCTGTACTAGAAGAAAGCTGAAGTACTGTTATTGAATGGATACTGGAATATACAGTTAATACTGAACTAAGGAAGGTTTAGCTTAGAAAACAATTTCCAGAATTTCATAAAAATGCAAAATCTAGAAATCGGAGTCTGTTAAAAGCTTAGGTTTTTGAAAAGGATGCAGTAAATACAGTGTAGCACCAACAAAATGAAATATCTCACTATGATATAACACAGAATAGGTGTTAGTGCATGTATTTACTGTATTTACCTGAAGGGATAGGCTGTCTTTATTAAGCAGAACCACATTAAGAAAATCTGCAAGCTGTGGAGATTATTGCATGAAAAAATGCATTAGAAATAAAGGTTCATTCTGATAAGATTAATCAAACAGTATCAATAACATTTATATAATACAAAACCCAAAGCAGTTTGAGTAATAAAAATAAAATTTTGAAAAAAACTAATGAAGTACTGAGCTAACTTGGTCTGGAGAAACTTGCAGCTCAAAGCCAATATTCCTCCTCTGAACTTTACCATCGGTCCTTTCACACCATCCAGATCACACTTGATATTTATCATTTGGAGAATGGAAAGATTTTTGCATTTAACAAATGAAGCAATCAGTTCCTGTTGAAGTCCGACAAATTTAAACAAGTAAATGAAATTTTAACCGGATCCTTTAAAAACATGTCTATATACAGGTTTTCAATCTGGCTTTCTGACTTAAGAATTTTCCGGGTCTTTTTATGTTATGTACTTTTTTATACTATCACAATTTCTAGAAAATACATCCATTCAGTTTTTTTGTATTTGAATTTTTTAAAATATTTAGTCTTAAATTAATTCTGAACTCAGCTTAATCTACTTTAAAAATGGGCTTAAAGCAAAATAAACTATGGAACTTAATCTAATTAATCTGCAATAATTTAATACAATCAATCATTTGCACAGAACTTTACTGTTGTCACTTTATACCAGTGTTGCATTGTCTGTCTGTATATACTTAATGTATATATATTTTTTTATATATTTTTAAATATTTTTTATACTTTGTATTCTTCTTTTTTCCTACTGTACTGTGATGCAACGCTGCAATTTCCCTACTGTGGGACAAATAAAGGATTATCTTATCTTATCTTATCTTATCTTATCTTATTAAATCTAAAAAAGTGTGGGATAAGACATAAAAAAACAAAATGAAACAATTTAATCCCAAACTATGCAACCTATTGCCATGAATAATCATCACTGCANAAAAAACAAAATGAAACAATTTAATCCCAAACTATGCAACCTATTGCCATGAATAATCATCACTGCAATAACTGAAACATTAAAAAAAGATGCTTTACCATGCATTAAAACTATATGTATGATTTATTCAGTATTAATTTGGTTAAATCAGATGTTTTCCTTCAACCTCTAGGACTGGACATACCATGACATCTGGTCATTCTTGAGGACATTACATGTGCCCTACTGCATCCTCTACGATAAAGGGTAGGGATGCACTCTACATCTACTTGTGTTCCTCTTGATCCTTCAGCTTTTATACCCCCCCAAAAAAACATAACATGTTTGTCCACCTGCAGGTATACATCACTTGGCAGTATGGACAACACTTACCGAAACAAGGCCCTCCAGGTGGTGGATGAGAGAGGCGTGAAGCGGTATAAGCCAGCCTACCTCCTAGAGAATGAAGAAGAGGAGCGAAACTCCCGTGCCTGAAGTTGTCCCTGTTCTTAGGTGTGTTTTTATTTACTATTTAGATGTCAGATTAGCATTCACATTAATTTCATTACAGCATTTTTGATTCTCTGCCTATCCGAAAAAAACCCATACGGTGTCTTTGTGACTGAATGGAAAAAGTATGCATGTTACAGTAATGTGTTTGCAATACTGCTCAATAAAACATCAGTTCTTATGTTGTGTTTTTGTTTTTTGGCCTTTTGTCATATTTCACACACAGAGCTGCAGGATATCCAGAGCACCCCTCGGGTGGTTTTATTCATTGATCCATCTGTCTTGTTTCTAAATCAAATAATCTGCTCAGACAGACAGCTGTTATCAGAGTGCATTTGTGAAAGAAATGTTAAAAGGTGAGGAGAATCGGGTTTTTAAGGCGCTGTGTGTGCAGCAGAGCTGAAGGTCACCCAGCAGGCTCACTGTAATCTGTGTTTTATTTCACCGGACCAGCTGCTGCGCTTTCCCCCCTCCCTCCTAAGGTTGTAGTTCTCTATAAGGACCTCAAGGGCGCGTTGTTCTCACGTTTTCCAATTTAGCCAGCAGTGATTACAATAAATTACCTTCTCTGTTTCCAGACATGATTGAATCCAGGCTCATCGATCCCCCCCCCCCTCTCTCTCTCCCTCCCCTGCCTGGAGATTAGTCAACGCGGCGCAGCGGCGATCGATACCGGCCGATCTAATAAAGCGGGTCGCTTACGAGGCCACCGCGGGGCTGCACACACTGTTACACCGGCAATTACCACTTTTAGGTCGGCCCCTCTTCCCCTCTGACTTTTCTGTCCTGGCTTCACGGGTCTGCTTGATTTATTGATAACAGTAATATGAGAGGCAATAAACAGGGGCTTGATAAGCACAGCTCAAATGTCATGAGGGGGCTTTGGTGGGCCTGGAATGATAAGTATGGCTGAAAAATGATGTTATATCTTCCACCAAGCAGACTTGGTTAGAATAGAGTAGAAAATTTTACTAGAAAATGAAGGTATTGTATGAAAAATAGTTTAAAGTTTCTTCATTGTAATTCGGTCTTTACTTTAACTAGGCCATTTTAAAACATGAATGTACATCGGCTTTGAAACAGAGTTTTTTTTCCCCTCATTTCAAATAGATATCTTTACACCAGCAAAAGATTAACTACATCATTTGCATTTATTGACTGAATAATAATGCTACCTTTTGTTTATTTTGTAAAAATTTTGAAATAAAAAAGTCATTATGCCCAAAAATTAAGGAGCTGAAAAATATTTAGAAATGAATAATTAACTAAAACGCAAAAAAAAAAAAAATATATGTACTGCACAATATACATAATGTTCTCTCAACCCACAGCATGATGCTGCCACTGCCTTCTTTCATTGTGGGGATGCTGTCTTCAGGATAATGTCTGTTAGTTTTCCAGCACACAGATTCATTTGCAACTACCGCTAAACTATTTAATTTTATTCTGCCCTGATCAGAGTACCACCCTATTCTTGATGGACTGAATATTTCTCTGTCAGATGTTGAATACTTACATATTACTTTATAAAGAATCTCTACTTTAAATATCTCCACAACTTGCATGGCCTGTTTGTTTCTTGGTCTTTATGATGCTGCTTGCAGTAATGCTCCGAGGCCTTCACAGAACCGAGATCAAGTTACACGCATATGGACTGGATGGATGGATCACATTTCTTTCATTTTATTATCATGCATGTATAATGTTTAAATAATTTTTTTCTTTTTAAAGATATCAGATACATACAATCCTAGAAAAAAAATAATTAGTAGTCTGTCTTGATTGTTTTTTGCACTGAGGAATACAGAGAACACACACACACACAAAAAAAACAAGGCTTGTCTAGTCCTATTTTCCATGTAAATACAAGATTTCCTTCTGCAAAAGTAACGAATTTCACCATATTTTCATTATCTTTCACTCTTTAATTAGCTTTTCCTGTTTCAGGACCATGTCTCCATGAGGGAATTCTCACCTCATTCTCGTTATCTGCCCAAATCAGGCATTATTACACCCTCTGTCCTCCTTTGTGAGCGTTTTGCTGCTGTACATCCCTTTAAAATGGTAAAGTCTCTGCTGTGGCCGAGCCCCATATAAATTATGTGGTGATTTCTGCTTCATTACTGCCACCTGGTACATAATTGGCTGATTTAGCAGATGGCATGAGATTTCTACAGAAAGACATTTGTGGAATATGAGAGCCTTCCTAGTGAGTTTTGATACATGAAAGGATAGTTTAGCATGTAAAGGTTCAAATGAGGGAAGGATGTTGGAGAAATGTGGAAACCGAAAACTCCCCTGTCTAGTCATTGATTTTAGAAAATTGGGCTTATTCTTAATATTCTTAAGGTGTGCAAAATCAAATGCAATTTATATGACTGAGTCCCACAGTTACCTACAAAGAAAGCAAACATACTATAGCTTTTAAAAGGGTTGAAAGGTTTTTGTTGAAAATGTCAAATCAGAAAGATACTATTCCTCGTATTTTTCTTTCTGTTTTCTTGCATTCCTCTCTGCAGCCTCAACTCTCATCCCAGTTCCCGACAGCTGGCCATCATCTGCTCATCCTCAAACGCCCTCTTTCATTAGAGAAAATCAAAATTCACCTGAGAGCAAATCACTGAATGAGGACATAAACAAGCAAATAGGGAATGTGCTTAAAGGATAGGGAGAATTGGTATCAATATGCATAAGGCAACATTGTGCAGCAGACCAATGCAGAAACAAATTGACACATCAAGAAAAAGCATTAATTTTTTAGATAATTCTTAATAATGTTCTTAATAAAAAGAAATATCCATAAATAATGACATTATTTTTACACTGGAAAAACGATCATAAAATGAGTAAAAGATTATTAAAAAAAAGTGTTTTTATCCTTAATTTGAGTGGGTAAATAAGATGATCTGCCAATGGAATGAGTATGTTTAGACTTAAAATAAGATATTCACTCAAAATAAGACACTGAATTAGTGTTTTCTTATTTTAAATGTAAACTTACTTATTCTATTGGCAAAGTGTCTCACTTACCTGCTCAATTCAAGAAAAAAATCACTTAATTTAAGGAAAAAGTAACTTGGATTTAAATTATTTGCAGTGTATAAAAATAAGGTTAGAGAATGTATTTTCATATATTTTAGTTATGACCCAAAAAGTACCATGAAGTAATGATTAGAGCCATAGAGTTAGCAAGTAATATCTCATATTAAAATATTTGAAATAAAATGCCTTCTTGCTCAGATCAGTTAATGTTGGAATATAGATGCAGCAGCTCGTATTTTTTTGTGGAAATAAATTACATGTTATATGTTTTTTTTAGGTTTTGGGGAATTTAGGTCAGATAAATAAGCCGGTTAGTCATGTTTCATGGTCTCTTCCTGCTGATGATGTTTAGCTGTACTGCTCATTGAAACCCCCTGAGGTCCATTAATTGTCCTGTTTAATTAACTGCTTGACAAGCATTAAGCAGTGGTTTAAAAAAATAATCATCTTCAGCTAAACCTGGACCATACTGAAACTCATATACAATATACATATTGTACTGGAAAAACATCCTTGCCATTACCATCATTTTTCTGGGTGGAGCTTAAACCCTTTAACATTAATCTTTTGGAAGCTATTTTTTCCTATTGGGGTAAAAAAAAAAACTCATAAACTTAGATCAGCGATGGCAAAAAAATACAATGTTACTAATGATAGTATTTTGGAGGTTATGTCTATACCACCTTAGCACATATGGAGATGAAGAGTCCCCATCAGCTCCGAGCAGCTCTCCTGTTCCACTGCAGAAAAGCATCCCCACAGAACCATGCCGCCACCACCATGTTTCATGGTGGTGATAATCTTAGGCTAATGTCAGGTGTGGATTTTGTGACACACATTGAGTAAGAAGCCATATAAGGCCTCGACTGCACCTGTCCTACATCTTTTAGACATGTCTCTAATTCTGAGTCAAATAATCAGACTCTGGAGGACTTAACTCCACACTGAGAAGGTAATTCAGCCATTTGATTCAGGCGAGTTGAAACAGAGACACATTTAAAAGGAGACAGACAGGAAACCAGATCATAAGGCTTGGAACTGATGAACCCTGCTTTACGTCCTGCAACCTGATCTTCCTTCCTGCTGAGTATCTCCGGCCCAGAACACCTTCTTCAGGTGTTTGAAATATCTCTTCATGATGCCAGCAATTGTTGTAGAAGCCTGATAATTACCCACTCATTTAGGTCAGCGTTGTGGCTGGAGGGAGACGCCAAAGATACGCGTGATTGTGGACTGAGAAACTCGACCATAAGTGACATAGTTATAGGGTATTCTTTTAGCCACTGGGGAGCACCACTGGAGAAAAAAAAAAAGAAAGTATGAAAACTTTTGCAAGGACCTCTACCTAAATCCATAGGAAAGGAAAAGCAAGACATGGAGAAAAAGCATCAGTCATTTTTTTTTACACTTCTGATTGCACAAAACAGTTTTGATTATAATAACTTGTTTTTGTAAATAATAGGAATGCAAAATTCCAAAAATGGTGAAAGCCACATTAGAAACAAACAGGAAGATGGAATAAAAGGGGAATTTTGTAATCTAATTGGTTCTCCAAAGAGAGGCTTTAGGTCGGCAGGTGGGTATGTGGTAAAAGCAGCCACTTAAGGTGCTGTGAGAACAAGGAGCTAATCTTGCAGCGCTCTCTATAAACCTCAGACTTTCTCTCTGTATTCCTCCCAGGTGGGACTGAATTTTATAAAAGACTCCACAGAGATAACAGCTCCTGTGATATGGACTCAGCATGACTTAAAATTGCACTTGGCATGACTTAGTGCCAAAAACATGTGACGAGCTTTGATATCAGAATGAACTATCCATCAGATGCCGCTGACTGCGAAGCTTTTCTCTGAAGGAATGTGTCCTTAATCCAATTCCTCGGGTGCTTCTGCAGTGTAAAACGAGACTTGAAGCACCATGAGACAGCAATTCAGGCGATGTCCCAGGAGTGATGCTTAACACCGAGGATGAATAGACGCCGCGTTGTCAGAAAGCATCAGGAGAAAAAGGAGACCTTTGAGTCTATGCAAATTAGCAGCCCATCTGCATGTAAAGCCAACAGACCAGAACATGGGAAATAGGATGTTCACTATCAAAGTTCTGCACATTAAAAGTGGATAAAAGTGAGAAAAAAAAAAAGAA